AATTATCTCTGAACCATTTATACATGGAACTTCAGTATAACTGACCAGTTATGGAAGGTGGTGCTGTCACCCTTTGTGTGTGCTGAAAGGAAGAAGAGGTGTGTTACCAACACCTGTGGTCCTTTCTCTAGACTCTTTCTAAGACTTAACCTTACAAGCAGTTATTACCATGAGTAGACCTTCTGACTGAAGCATAAGCATTCCCAGCAAGAAGAGTTATAATTAGTATTATTTGCACAGTTAGGACTGTAAGACAGTGGAACACCAAAGTTATTCTGTTCATATTCCCTGTATCAAGGAGCAAGGAAGCACGTTTGTATCTTTTGGACACCCAAGGGTAATAGTAATGAAATGTTGTAACACACAATGCCATACTGCTCACCTATTCTATGTTAATTCAAGTCATTTTTGAGGCCACTTATACCCTGAAATACAGTTTAGAATTTTTTTGCTTTATTTGAGTGAGCAAGCAAAGAGGAGTATCAAATTCCACCTGATTTATGCTTGAAGCAAATAAAGATGTTGGCTAGAGGTTTTGGGAATTACCTTCAAAATGACACATAGAATCAAACCAATTTAAAATTTCTAAGGCATTTCACCCAGGGACACAAGTCTGATGCATTACTGCACGCTGCATGCATGCTGCAGGCTCCCCAGCTTGGAAGCATGGCTCCTGCTTGACCAGCTAAGAGACTGTGTTCAGGATCCTGGTAAAACTGTGCTATGAAAGCAAGTTATGCTGGGACTGCAACAAGTTACCACACTCCCCATTGTCAGAAAAATTTCTGTGAGATGGTTATTCCAAGAAGAAACAAATGCCAGATCCGAGCCAGATGTTTAATGCTGGTTGTGAGGCCTTTATACTCTACTAGTGGGGTAGCTGCAGTGCTTAAAGCACTTGAAAATTAATCTGGGGGAAAGGCTATACAGAGCTGCTCTGCACATGTGATGTATGTGTAGTACAGTTACCAGGTCAGATGTGCTTTTCCTTCTTGTACTTCTCTCTGCCTGTACCTCAGCAATGTGAGGCTTCAGCCTTTCACCTCTGACAGCTCTCAAGAAATTCTGCAGTTCTCTAAAACCAGATGGAAACTGGATTCCAGCTCCTCAATTTCACCAGTGAAAGACCACTTGTCTAACATGAATTTGGCCTCACATGGCTTCCCCTTTGACAGCAGCTGACTAAAATGAGTAAAAAGTTGAAACAAATGACCTTGTAACTTTGATACTTTGAAATATCAAAGAGATTGAATAAGGCATATAATCATCACATTTACAAACTGCAGCCCCCACATGCACATATTGTTTCAGTCCTTGATCTCTTTCATAGCTCAGATGTCTCCAGGTTATTGTCAATCTATGAGATGGGAGGAACAGCCTGCAATGGTCTCAGTGCCCACCTTCTGTTCAGAGTACCCTCTACATCTTCCCCCTTGTAAACCTTGGGTCTAGCTCCCTTACATATTTTTTTTTCCTAATTTCTCCTTCAAGACTTGGCAAAACAGCTAGGTCACTTTGGAAGGGACTGAAGAATGTCTTCTTGTGTCTCCAAATCTGGCAGTTGTGTTTGAGGGAATGCTCTTTATCTGAGTAACTGCATTAACTTTTCGGCTTGTATTTTCAACAACTTTTGGCTGGCTTCCATTGAATTAGTGCCCAAGCATGCAGCAAAGCAAAACACAGAGCAAAAAGAGTCACACACAATGTTTGTAGTTTCCTAGATTGTTGCATTTAGTATAAAGTTATTGGAATAATTACATACTTCAAACTTCCAATGACATTTAATTTAATGCCTTAAGAGGCTCTTAGATGGTTACTCACTAATAGGTATTTCCCATTAAATAAATTTAGTACATAGCCATAGAGATAAGATTATGTAATATTTTTTTCCTTTTTCCACACTTAAGATCAGCCATACTAATGTGTCTAATTAGTGTGTACTAATTAGTCTGCCATACTAATGTGCTGCCTGTAACAACTCACACTTCCATTTTCTGGTGAGGGGGATAAACATTTTAATTCTCTTTGTTCTTTCATTGCAGCATTTCAACATAATGCAACATTTTCATTACTTTCTTTTGGCCTTGTCCCAGTTCTGTCCGCCTAACTCTGAGATACAGGAGCAGTGTATAGTGCATGTGGGGTTTGTTGTTTTTTTTTAAAAAAACCCCCGAATTCTAGTATTTCCCAGCTCGGGAAATCTTGATGGGAGAGACAAATCTGTCATTTTTGCTTGTTAACATTTTTGTACTGAAGTACAGAACCTGCCATTGTACTGAGTTTTTATGGCCACCTTGGGAACTGTGTCCCATTTGTAATGTTGAATTGAAAAAGATGTATGGAGGATCTCCTCATTCTGGGTGTCATATCCCATACCAGCACTCTCTTGTAAACAAGAAAAGGTTTGAAAATGCACAGCTCTCTTCCATCCCAACATTTAAAATTATCCCAGGATTCTTTGAACTCTTCCCACTGCTCCTGTATATGATTTCCAGTGTGGACAAACTAGAACTTGCTCTAGGGCCTTCTCCTACATATTTTGCATGTACATCAGCAGCAGAAATAAAGCTAATTCAATAGCAATCATGTGGATACTGAATGCATTTCGAGAAGGATTTCACACTAACTCTCTCTTCTGTCCCCTACCTCAGGCTCCTAGGCTGGATGAAAATACAGTACACAACACCTCTTTTTCAAATATTGCTTCCAATAAGGAACTGGGAGTTGGGAGGTGGGGCCTGCTGTGCATGTGATCGTTTTTGTAAAAAAAAATAGGAGGCAATGGGTTAGGGAGGGGAGAACTGAGGACTGTTGGAAACAACTGATTGCAAAGAGGAAATAGCAGATTGGAAGTTAAAATCAAGTATCCTGGAATTCAGGTGAGTGTCAGAGAGGACTTTCCCACCATGATTAAGAGTTGGTGGGAACAGCTCCTGGTGGGAGTTTTGCTCCTAAGCAGATGTTTAACTGGATTTCTGGCCACCTAAATGCCTTACACATTTGTCCAAGATAATTTATAGGCTCCTCATTTAATTTCTGGTTTGGAAGAAGCTTTTCCTGATGACTTATAAAAGGAAGATTTTAACTAAATTAACTTCCCCTATACATGACACGTCTGTGTTGCAGTCAGTTGCACTTCAGTCATAGGAGACGCATATAAAGTAGCTTTTCAAAAGCAGAAAAGACAGTTCTCCCTTTAAAAATACTTTGCATAAACCTTTATGAGTGCCCCAGATCTTGATGGTAAAAGTTTAGGTTTAATCTAGTGCAAAAAAACGATGACACCAAGTTTCTAGGTTCATACTGCTAGACAATGATGGGCAGAATGCAGCAGGGTATGAGGAAAAATGTAAGTGGGGAGTTTCTGCATAGAATGCAATAGATTTTCATGGTGCAAATTGACATTGACAAAAGGATGCTGAAACTTGGGTCCTGGGTTTCACCTACTTACTTTAATGCACAAACTGCAAAGAGATATAAAGAAAACCAGTAGTTTCTGCAAAGGATACAAATAGAGAGAACAGGGCCTGCAGTTGTGTGCAGTTGTAGCTTACTCTTTCCTTGGAAATACCTCCTCTTTTGCAGTTCACATTTTTTAAAATAATTCTACTACTCACATTTATTTAGTAGTATTATGTCTGCAAAACCATTCTAGAAACTGATATTCTTGTTTTATTCTTCTATAACAGTAGAAGAGAGAAAAGAGAGACAGTTTATAGTCTAAATTTGGTTTATATTCTTTTTTGTGTAAGCTCACATTAATTGTCTGACCTGTACATGTATGTATCCACATAAACACATGCATTCTGTTTTCTAAGCCTCTACAGGATTTCATCTTTTCATGTTTGTTACTTGAAGGCAAGTAATTGCTTTCATGGCATTTGTTGTAAGTGAAGCATTGGTAGGTTTTCCTATATTGACATGTTGTATGGTGGTGGTTGAACAGCTACATTCTTAGTCAAGTCCTCTACAGTAGAAAGTTTCAGTCATCAAGTCGACTTTCTATTTAAAAACTGATACAAAGCAGCTGTGTTTGGGAGTTACTGAGTCACACTGATGGTTGGTATTTTTTTTGCTACTGGCAGCCCTCCTCCTGGAAACTTATGCTGCTGAAATGTTTGTGCATTTGGCCTCTCTGCCCCTTTGCACATTTAGCATATCACGTTTGTACATTTTACTGTCTACAGCTGACATTTTCATTCTTCGCTCTTTGCTGGAGAGTGTAAGAGCATTACAGTATAGCTGACCTTGTCAGCAAGTAGAAGGACAGTCTATTATCCCTTGACTGGCCTATTTTTGAGGGTGCCTGGGGTGTTACCTTGATATTAGTAAGGTCATCAACAACAGCAGAGCTCGTTATCCGTAGAGAAGACCTGGCTTCTTTAATGCAACAGCAGCAAGTCTTACTGGAGAGCAGATATGTGAAATCCAACAGTGAGAAGCTGGTAAGGGTTATGCCAATGTGAGCTTTGATTTCAGTGGGAAGTCATCATATAGGAAATGATTGTGTGCCTGGGTCAAAGAGATTTTGGTTATTTCTTAATAACTGGAAAAATCCTCTACCTTTGTGCCTTGTATACATGGTGCTTTTCCATGTTGCTTGTGACAGAGAACATCTCATTCTGTGTCCACCACCGCTGTGTAGAAGATAATTCTGAGCACTGATGTGAATGTCTTGACAGTCCTTTTTGAATTCAGCAGTTCAGCTTGCACAGGTCAGACGTAGTAGCTTCCATATCCTTGATGTTCAAAAAGAAGGTAGCAACTCCTGTAACAAAAAGAGATTATAGTGTCCTCACTGAGCAACAGCATTTCTTTGTTCTGATGATAGGACAGCTGGAAAATGAGACAGTAGTGAAAGGAAGGAGTCATGTTCCTTTACAGTGACAGCCACCCTCCTCCTCTTCTTCAGTTCATGCCTGTGCCTGTGGTGGCTGGTTTTCAGGGTTCTTACTTGGCCAGGTTTTCTGAGGGCTGTTTTCTTTATTGTGTCCATTCAGGTCTCGGTCAATCAGCGGAGCATCGTCTGGGCTCTCCACCAGTCCTCTCAGCAGTCCAAGGGTAAGTGGTGCTGCTTCAAGATCTGTTGGTCCAATTCACTCACACGTGCTGGATGCTTTTCAACATCTGTTGCTGTAGAGCAAGGCTCTTAGCTGGGATGTTTTGTTTTTTTCTTGGCAGCTTGTCAATTTTCATGGGTGCTGAGGGAAATGCTATTTACAAATGCAAACGGAGTATTTCTCATACATGTTCCCTGCACTGTAAGCAGGGAGCTCACTGTGCCCCTGCCCTTTTTCAGTCTCCTAAGCACATAGAAAAATGTAGCTAGGACTAAACACTGCCATATCTAGCTGAGGTCTGTTTATGGTGTGGCTTTAGACCAAATGTCAGGAACCATTTCACAGCTACCTTCAATCAGGTCACAGTAGAGCACCAAACCATGCCAGTTACAACCAGCTTGATTCAGTTAGAAGTCCGAGAAAATAAAATATATAAATGTGAGCTCTAGAAAATTTAAAAGGAAAGAAGTTGACTAATGAAGAAGAGAAAACAACACTTAACCTTGTATAAATAAGGTACATTCACATGCTCTTATTCAATATATAGTCAACTAAATGCCAATACTCAACTAATACTGCCACTCAGCTAGTATAAAACATACCTGATAGTACCTCTGTTGCAAAGTTATTACACTTCATAAGTGCAATGACAGAGGCCTCCCTCTCCTTAGTGACTTCTTTAGGGATAAGAGTGAGTATTCCTAATGTATGAAAAGATCAGCTTGGTCACTTCAAGACTTCAGTCCTTACAGAAGTCTAGACCTTATTAAGAAGTGTGTAGGGCTGTGGCAATCCATGTTACCTACTTATCTGACCCAGTCTTCGAAGAATTTCTACATACTTTTCCTTATTTCATGAGAAAATGCTATCTTCCATTAGAAATTTCTATATTCCATGTCTTGGGATATGGATGCACCAATGGATCTACTCTTAGGTATATGAAGATGACATCAGTATTCCAAATATTTAAAATTGTAATCCTGCAGTAACTCTGCGTGTAATTCTTATGCATAAAGACACACTGTCAGGTGTAAGTTTATAAGCTACTAAAGCTATAAGCTACTAAATCCCTGCTTGATTGAACTATTTTCTGAAACATATTTGGGGTTCCTATCAATTGTTACCCTGTTTTGCAACTGACATAAACGTGTTTGTGGTCTCCTCTGCATCTTTAAGGTGCTAGGAACCAATGAAGATCCATTCCCTTTTTTCTGCTCTGGGACTCCTGGATGTCAGTGAAACAAAACAGAGGTCTGAGAACTCTCATGCCACTGCAAAATGTACTGAAAAAGAGCATGGAAACAGTTTTGTGCCCAAAACATCCAGTGCAGAAACGTAAATCTTCATCTAATTAATTCATTTCTGCTCTGGGACTCCTGGATGTCAGTGAAACAAAACAGAGGTCTGAGAACTCTCATGCCACTGCAAAATGTACTGAAAAAGAGCATGGAAACAGTTTTGTGCCCAAAACATCCAGTGCAGAAACGTAAATCTTCATCTAATTAATTCATCTCTTGAGATCAGTTTCAGTGGGACCATAATATCAAAGAATAAGGATGACAAGATCTGTTGCATGGTTGCTGTATCTTAAAATTATTACTGAATAGGCCGTTAATTAAATAGTCTTCAAAGGAAGTTAGCAATCAGATGGCATTTTCAGCAGATCATAACAATGTTAGGATGGGTCACATTTGAGGCTTGAAAAACCATGTTGGAATAAAAATAATATTTCTTTTACCATTCTTACCTAAGCTTCTAATAGCACCTTAGATTATTGGAAGAAAACATACTTGAAAAATTAAATACTTATTTCATTCTATGTGCTGCTTAATTTCAGTTCTATGAGGAACTGAACTGGGCAGTAACTAAGAGTTCTTCAGTCTCACGAGATCTTGCTAATGGTGTTCCTCATTGCACAGCTGAAGTGCAGATCTAATCCTGTTCTTTATTTCAGTACAAAAAATGTCATAATTAATGGTGCCCCTTCAGATTCTTAATGGCTTAAGTGGGAGTTGAATTTAAGTTGAACTTAATTTCTTTCAAATTTGATTCTCAAGCCATCGTAAGACACAAACATTGCAAGGAAAAGTTTGTAATCAAGCATCTTTGGCTTATAACCATTGGTGCAATTTGCAGATGGTTAATATTCAGGTGCTGATAGTGACTTCCATAAATTAATCACTTCCCTAATCTTTTCCCCCTTTCCTTCTAATGGGCAATCAGAATTTACCAGCATGGCACACTTCAGTTTAACTTTACAATCCTTTTGATGTCGTGGTTTTCTTTTAATTTTGGTGGCCTAACCTAACCCTACATTCTTTAAATTAATTACAAAACTTTGATGCAAAAAAAATTTAGGAATTAAGTCTGAAATACATTTGTGCCTTTTTAAAAAATGGCAACATTGTGCTAATCCATCAAACACAGAAAGTAAACTCACTGGCAAGTGTGCTTACCTGGGACTGAGATTCAAGGCATGGTTACATGTAAATGGTATGTCTGGACAGTGTTTGATAACAGCTTTTAGGTGTCAAGGATGGATGATGATAATGATAATAATAATAATAATAGCAACAACAACAACAATAATAATAAAGAATAATAATGGTGATAAATAATGTATCATAGGTAATAATTTATAGACATCAGAATCTGAGTGCAGATCAAAGCTAAAGATCTTGAGTAGTAATTTCATTTTTTACAATTCTGCCAGTACTTGTAATCTAAAGTGTCAACAGCGATGCTTTGTAAGGACATAAGTTTTGTTTTAAATGTTTTTGGCTTGCTAGTATCCCTTTAAAAGGCTTCTGTCCTCCCAAGTCTGTGTATTGATGTTTTCTGTTGACGTATAAATAGTTTCCCAAAATGCCTCTCACATGTGTAAAAGTTTTTGTTTGGGAAAACAAAACACATTCATAATCCCTTCTGATAACTCAGTGATGGATTATGATCTTTGGTTGTCTTTTTCTTTTTAAACTGTGTCTTACAAAACAATGGCTCAACCCACCCCCTCCATGGAACTGGGACTTAATGGCAAATATTGCTGAGACTTTATGACAGAAATTCTGAATATTGAGCTGTTCTTTGATGCGATGATGTAGGTTGCAGGAGGAGCATAAAGTCTGATGGGAAGTGTTATCTCTTCCCAGATAAATACATTTGCCAGGCCTCTCTGAAGTTTTTTGCTGTAGATGTTTACAAATCAGACACCAACCTGAGTTGATACTTTTCTTCTGGTGGTGTGTGTTCTGATGCCTCCAAGTGAATGCTGAGTGGTTTAACCTGCGAGGCCAGGGGATGAGACCAGAGGCCCACATGGCATCACTCTCCCTTTTCCCCCTTTCTGCAATGGGTGGCTGCAGATGGGGTGTGCATTAGCCACAGTCAGGGCTAAAGAGGAAGGAACGAGGTTCTGACTGGTGTGTGCAGTAACTTGTGTGCATCACCTACCACTTCGTATGTATCACACACCTGTTTTAAGTTTCATTTCTCTGCTGGGTTTGCATATGGGCACTTGGAACTGAAAGAGGTGGTCCCATTCTTGGCACATCTCAATTTGTCTGTGGCTTGAGTGGTTCTTCTTCCCCTTCCTCACCTCCCTACAGCATTGTGCTTCTCACAGTGCAGGACAATCAGAACAATCCTAGAGAGATGGCATTTCTCTCTTCTTTTTTCTTGGTTACTTGCATTTTGGTTGTTTTTTGTTTGGTTTTGTTCGTTGGTTTGTTTTTTTGTTTTGTTTTGTTTTTACTTTTCCTTTGGTTTACTTTAGTTTGTGTTAGTTTCCTTTGCTGACACGTGGTTGGTTAATATGATGAAGCCTGTTATGACACTGTTGTTCTTGCTGCTGCCGCTGCTGCTGTTGTTGATTATGCTGTGTTCCCAGCTAACTGCATGTCTTTTTTTGTTTTTTGTTTGTTTGTTCTTTTTTTGTTTCTTTGCAAAATCCCTCCCCTCCACTACCCCTCCACCTCCATCTCTTGTGTCTCCTTGTGACATGGTGCATCTTTGTGACTTGGATGGATTTTATTCTGACTTTCCTTTCTCTGCTCGCCCGCTCTATGCGTATTTCACTGTTTTTGATGTGCATGGACACTTTGTGTCTGTCTCGTAGCCTATCAGAAAGTTCTTCATCCCCCCTCAGACCTCCGACCTCCCTTTCTCTCCCCGACCCCAAGTCTCCTTGGACCCTGATGCTTGTAGGAACGCCTCCAGGCCTGGACATGTACTCCAACCAAAGCCAGCACTTCAGCCCAACCCAAAGACGCAGACTTTGCCATCCAAGAGCAAATTGGCCGAAAAACCACTCCAGTCTACTAAATCCAACCCACTCCCTACCAGCAATACCAGCGCCTCCTCTTCCCAGAACACTCCTGTGCAGAATGCTCAGGGCCGTTTGCCTGCTGCCAGCTTTAACCCACAGCTGGCTGTTCCTAAAATGCAGACCAACCCTATGTCTCCTGTTAGATTGCTCCCTTCTAGTACTGACCCAAGCACCAAATCTATCCCCATCATACAGGTCACCCCTCACCCCTCTCCAAGGGGAAGTCCCCTCCCTACCCCCAAGGGGACACCTGTCCATACGCCAAAGGAGAGCCCAGCAGGCACACCCAACCCAACACCACCATCCAGCCCCAGCATTGGAGGAATGCCATGGCGGACAAGGCTCAACTCCATCAAGAATAGTTTCCTGGGGTCTCCTCGCTTCCATCGCCGGAAATTGCAAGGTGAGTACTCACCCAGTCATACAGTGTGGGCAGATATTTTGTGGGCAGATTATCTGATTTGGGCAGATATTCAGTGGCAAACTGATGCCTGTTTGTGAGTGCAGATTTCATGTAATGACTAGTGAATATTGGTACTGAAAGTGCAAGCAATAGTGTCAGACAGCCCTAACCCAACGAAGGTGTGAGTAGGTTCTGCTGTGCCACTGTACCTGCTTCAACAGCATATCCTGAGCCCTATTCACACTCTAGCCATATAGCTCTTACTATCCCTGTTGTGGCTCTAGAACATAAGAATAGTTTATCTTCAGCTTCTCCACTTACTTTGCCAGGGAACCTAGAGCTCTGCCATTGCCCTCTGGCTGTACTCCACTGCCTCTCCTTGGCCACAGGCTGAGCTTTTCTGCTGAAGAAAGGGAGCTAGTGGCAATAGGCTGAAATTGTCCTTCTGAATCACAGCTTGTTTCATCTAAGTTAATGCTGGTTTTACTTTCTTTAGTAACTGGTGTAAAAATCTCCTTAATACTATTGATGGTTTCTTATATGCTAGCCTCTTTCAATTTTCAGAGTCTGTAGAGTGTTGAGATGTGCAAAAATTTCTTCTTCAAACTCCAGGTGGCTTTTTGCATTTAAGCAAAGGGCCCCCAAAGTCACATGCATTAACCTCAGATGTCATCAGCAGCTATCCCAACACCCTGTGGTTTTACAGGGAACTAGGATGTGATTACATAGAATTACTGGGAGTATTACAGCCATAGAAGAGTTAGATTCTGAACTGTGATGGTCAGAGGCATTGTCTCTGAGATGGTCAGAGAGCTATGGAGAATTGCAGCAGTGACTGAGCTGCATACAGCTGGGCTTTGAAGCAATTGTAAGGCAATCAAATTGACGCAGTATTTGGCTCTGAACCAGAAAACCTTGAAGCCATTGCAAGATTACATGATTTAAGAAAGGGTAGGGTGAGCCTTGAAATGCACCACTTGATCAGATCCAGTGATCTAGTGACAATATTCAAATGTCAGAACTAGTCGGCAGTGGACAAATTCAAGGATGTGTAGTGCCAGAATTGCTTCACTGGTGTACAAGTAGAAAATGGAACAGGTACTGAATTATCAATTTCTTTTTTCCTTCCCTCTCTTTGGCTGTGTGTGCACGGGCAGTACCTACACCAGAGGAGATGTCTAATTTAACCCCAGAATCATCCCCAGAGTAAGTAATTTTCTGGTACACTACTTTTTTTCCACCACATAACAATGTAATTTCCCTGCCTGAATGTCACAGGGTGACATATTCATGTTCTGGATCAGTGTGTGATTGTAACCTGTGAGTGTGATAGAGATGTGAAGTGGTTCTTCTACTAAGCATCCTGGATAAAATCTATACTTCAGTAATGGCAGTGGGCTCAGCAGGTGATGAAACAGTCTCCCAGTAACCACCTCATTTTAGAAACATAGAATCATAGAATAGTTTGGGTTAGAACACCCCTTAAAAGGTCATCTAGTCCAACCCCCCTGGATTGAGCAGGGACATTTTCAACTAGATCATGTTGCTCAGAGCCCTGTCCAACCTGGCCTTGAATGTTGCCAGGGACAGGGAATCTACCACTTCTTTGGGCAACCTCTTCCAATGTTTCACCACGCTCATTGTAAAAAATTTCCTCTTTAAAACTAGTCTAAATCTACCCCCTTTTATATTAAAACCATTACCCCTTGTCCTATCAGAAGAGACCCTGCTAAGATGTCTGTCCCCATCTTTCTTATAGGCCCCCTTAAAGTACTGGAAGGCTGCTGTGAGGTCTCCCCAAAGCCTTCTCTTCCCCATGCTGAACAACCCCAACTCTCTCACACTGTCTTCATAGGAAATGTGCTCCAGCCCTTTGGTCATTCCTGTGGCCCTCCTCTGGACTTGCTTCAACATGTTCATGTCTTTCCTGTGTTGAAGACTCCAGAACTGGGCACAGTACTACAGGTGGAGTCTCACGAGAACAGAGTAGTGGGGCAGAATCGCCTCCCTCAGCCTGCTGGTCACACTTCTTTTGATGCAGCCCAGGATGTGGTTGACCTTCTGGTCTATAAATACACATTGCCAGCTCATGTCCAGCTTTTCATTTACCAGAAGCCACAAGCCCTTTTCCACAGGACTGCTCTTGATCCATTCATCCCCAGCCTGGACTGATACAGCAGGTTTCCTCAGCCCAGTACAGGACCTTGCATTTGGCCTTGTTGACCCTCATGGGCTTCACATGGGCCCACTTCTTGATTTTCTCATGGCTTGCTGAATTTACTGGATTTGTAACATGTTTTTTTTCTCTTCTTTCATTTAATTGTCAAGCAGATCATCAATATTGGGGAGTGGATATGATAATCAATGGCTTATACGATCCCTAACTATGCACTAAAAAGTCTTCCTCTTAATATAGGAGAGTTTCATCCTCAGTATAACATGCTCTGCTAAGATAACTCAGAGGAATCTTTGGCTGCAATATTAAATGCAGTGTTAATTCTGGGTAGCAGCACTGGGACATGCAGAATCTGTTTCATATTCACCAGACTCATTCCTAAAAGTCAGGGTACATTTCAACCATCTCTTTGCACAAATATGAGTCACTGCATGGCAGGTTTGGAAGTCCCTGCCAGAGAGTGCTGCTCCAAACACTTCCTAATATATGCAACAAATGCCAAGTTATTTCTTTTTATTTTCACAGCTTGTGTTTGTGCATCCAGTGCCCATAGACTTGCCCTGCCAACCAAAGCAATTTGGTCTTTTGTCAAGAAACTAGTGTGAAATATTCATGAGTTGTAGATGGAAATTTTGGGCCCAAACTTCTGTAATTGGTGATAATGGTACTGCCTTCACAACTTTCCCCAGGCCTGTCATTGATCTGGTGTAAGATGGGCATTCTCTATCTAATGCTGCAGAATGGAGAGGGATAAAGGCTTCAGGAGAGGGAAAAGCAGGGAATAACAAACATTAGTAAAATAAGTCCAGGAAGAAAAGTGGAATAAATTGTGTTTTCAACAATTTGGAGCATTTACTAATAGAGAGGCATGGGAGTATTTCATACAATGCACACATCCTTATCAAATAAATACATTATACTCTAAATTAATTTTTTTTTAAGCCATTAAAGCAGAAGAGCTCCAGAAATAAATTTATCCCCTTCCCTCTCCTTCATGTATGTATGTTAGTGGAATTTCTTCTATTAATTTATCACCTTCTCTGCTTCCCACTCACTCTTTCAAACCTAGTATAGAAAAGCAGTGTCCGTCATTTGAGGCAGTTTGCATGCAAGTCAAAGCCTTAAGGGCATTTTTTTCTCCTTCTCTATAATTGCCAAATTAATGAATTCAGTTGGGTTGCACCCTGCAGTAAACATAATAAAAGCCATTAAAAAAAAATTTACTGGATTACATTTTAACCATAGATTTCTTGTTGCTCAGTGCCCACTTCCCCATCTTTTCCTAGTATTTTCTTCCTTTCTTTCAGAAATAATATATTCTTATGAAAAGCTGTGTTGACCTCGTGGGTTGAGCAATAAAAATATATGTCCTTGCTCTGGTACAGCATTCTTTAAGACTGTGATTCATTTAACAAACCTGATGATTAGGTAATGCATTTTGACATGTCTCATATGAAAAAGTCCTAGAAAATGTGTTAGGGGTGACATATAGAGACATACCTCCAGCTGCTTTAAATCTCCAAAGCTCCATTTGCTTTAGTAGAAATGCCAAGCAGGTAAACCTCTGGAGATTACAGCTCCATGCACTTAGGGACAGATAGGGTAGACAATGACACCTCTTTAGAAGACGATGCAGTCAGACACTCCAAAAGTAGGAGCAGGATCAACATTATAGCAGAGAGAAATTCAGTGTGAATCAATAAAGCTCCAGCCTCCATTTTCATGCTAATCTATTTGCTTTTTCATCAACTGACACCTGATTAGATTCCCTAGAGTAATTTACATACCCAGCCTCCTACACATATCTCCAGTGTCCCTGCCCCTTAGGAGTTTTCCATGACAAGGGAAGATTGTTAATTTGAAGTCCATTTTTTTGCTGCTTACAGTATGATCTTGTGAGATCTAGACCATCTTGTTCAGGGTGCTGAGAATCCTGGATTTATACCCATTTTTAACCCAAGTTAGTAGCACTTAACACCCTCTAGGAGGAGGGAAGCCTTTATTGTCTCATTTTACACCAAAGCTTCCCCCTCTTCTTCAGTAAGCCTGTTCCCCAGGTGTATAAGCACAGCTAGTTCTGCTAATCTTGAAGAGAAAAGCCAGTGACTGTGTGCTATGTCTTAATCCTATTCATTCCAGAAACAGGAGAGGCCACTGACATCTCTTCCATCTTGTGCAACACAAGCAAAATTATTTAGTGAATTCCAGTGATTTACAAGCTGGAACATAGCCCAAGCAGGCTGTCAGTGAATCTTCCATTTTCATATGATGGACCTGCAATTAAGTATGCACATGTCTTCCAGACCCAGCTTCCATGTGTGGAAGCTTGGGCCCCTGGAGTCCATAAAGCCAACCCCAGTTCTGATTTTAATACATACAAGTCTAAAGCAACGACCCATTTTAGATAGATAACCAGGTGCAAATTTACTAATGAGCACAGACCCTTTACATGCAGGAAGCTATTGCCCCAGCTCTCCAGGGACTTGCGGAGTTGTTATGGTGTGTGCAAGACACATGAGCTAATTAGCATGTAATTTCCTTTCACACTCTAACCCTGGCTCCTTAACAACCCATTTAAATGAGAGGCCCTTTCGCTTTAAGGCTCCCTATGCTAATCTCTGGCTCACTGGCTTACTTACAGCTGCCTATGAATATTTTAGGGAGTTTCAGTTTTCCAGCCCACTTAATTGAGTGGGGGGCACTAGTTTACCAAATTGTGAGTGAATCTTTCTGTATTTTTGTTTTTTGTTTCCTGCAGTAAGTAGAAGCAAATGATTACTTGTACAGCCAAGCTGTCCTACAGTTGTGCTCTTTTCTACTTTGTGCATGAAGTGGGCAGTGAGATGACAGTTCTGTAATTCATGGAACACTCTGGAATGGGGAATGAGTGCAGATTGCTCTATGCTGCTGAGGTCAAGCTTTAGTCTTCATCCCAAAGGTCTAGTCTTCAAATTAGTTTCCTAGTTTGCTCCACTCTGTCCTCATCTCTGCCCTTCCTCATTGCACCTCAGTCCGAGTCTGGAAAGTGAAATGGAAAATGGATCTACTAATAATTCTCCAGCTGTGGAGAATTCCAGCTGGCTTTGCTGGAAAACTGATATATACTGATCCTCTTTGCAGATGGGTTTCCTTGTCTGGAGAGGTTGTCTTCTTCCATTGAGTGGTGAATGTCCACCAAAACAAATGAAAGCCTCTTGGTTGCCACAGTGCAAAGTGGACTTATCAGGGCATTATGAAGTATCCTGTGGAGATAAAAACCTGCAGTCATGTGGTGGCAGGTCTTTTTATCTCTGACATTTTCATGCTAAATTCTTCCTTATGTGAATATGGTTAATTTCAGTGGAATTTCCTTGGGGTTTAGGTTGGTCCAGCAATTATTTGGCTGTATCTCACAGCCGACAGCATCTTCTCTCCCCTTAAAACCACTCCTGTCAGAGGTGCTACCTTCAGGTTCTGGGTTGTGTCTCCCAATAACATTCATGTCCCTGCATTTTTCCCTTAGCCTGTTTAAATTAAAAGGGAATGTCAACAAGATGCATTGAGATGGTGAAACAATAAGCAAAACTGAACATTTGCTGAGATGACCAGTGTGAGAAAATAGCAGTTTCATTTTGTGATGAAATCACCATCTGATGCTGAAAGGAACTACAAAGTTGTGCTGTCAGTGAAAAGCCTGAATGTGTTTTGCATGGTGTTGATACCTTCTCTATTAGTGCTGAAAATTCATGCCTTTGTATGATGGCTAGAGTGCACTCCTTACATAATCATGCTGAATGGGACTAATGAATGGGACAGTCTTTGTCCCAGGCTTCTGTGCAGGAGTGGATTTTACTCACTGACAGGTTGGAGGTCCAGTGAAACCTACAGCTTGCTTTAAAAAGCAAGATCCTGTGATTGTACTGTCAGCCCAACAGGAGACCTTCACAAAAGGAATTTTCCAAGTGCTAGAACACCAAAGAGGTTGAAATTGGTTGCAAAGGAACTTAAATCTCCATGTTACCAGCATCCACATAGTGTCACGAGACATTGAGAGATCTCTGGAAGCAAACCAGGAATATGTCCTCTGGCTTATATGCACTGTATCTATGCAGTATTTAGTGGTATATTGGCTCAGTCGAAGGAGTTACCATTGCTCCTGATGCTAATCAGTTGGCCACACATGTTGCCAGACTAACACTGAGTGGTCCATCATTTTAACAGTTTTCACTAAGGGAAATGTTGTTCTGGATGTTCACTGCCACTGAGTGTTAGCAAAACTTCCTTCTCTATTTTTTACTGTTTTGTTTTTTTTTTTTATCTGGGAGGGTGTAGAAAATACTGATCAAAATTCTAAATATTATTTGTTTTCATCACGTCAGGCTTGCAAAAAAATCCTGGTTTGGTAACTTCATCAACCTGGAGAAAGAAGAACAGATTTTTGTGGTCATTAAGGACAAACCACTAAGCTCCATTAAAGCTGATATTGTCCATGCTTTCCTCTCGGTAAGTCACCCCAGCTGCCTCTTGGGGGCATTGCACACTGGTCAGTTCCAGAATTCTTTGTGCCATGTGTTACTGGGCAGGGTCTCTATTCCTTCAAATGCATCCTCTGTGGATTTAATTTACATAGCCTGTCAATTCAGACCTCCACTGGACTCTACCTGAACTTGTAACTGTAAGGTGGGAAAATATTTCAGGCTCCTTAGCAGGATCTCCAGGTTGCCAGTGGAATGTCACTGCAGTTAGGGTGCACTGCTGGTTGGTATCAAGACAGCAATTTGCTGCTTAATCGCTGTCTGGACATCAGACTGAGTCTCCCTCTGCTGGGCATGCCCTCCATCACTTTAGTCAGACAAAAATCTTGTCTGGCTTCTGCATTTGTTACTTTAAATCTCCTCTTCAATGCCATGTGGCAGAAAATAAGGTAATTTCCCCTGGTGACTGGAGTAGCAGTTGTTACAGATGTGGTTTATTTACAGTCTGGGAAAACGGAGGGAAATTGTCATTTTTTTCTACAGAAAGTCCTTTTTTTCACTGTCTAGAAGTACCAATGAAGAAAAAGTTGGCACAGTAAATTTGAGAGATTTCTCAATGCAAGGTAGTTCAAAACATAACTAGACTTTTTTTCAATAGAATGAAAAGAAGGAGACAATTTCTTATATTGTTTGTTGAATTAATAGTGTTTTCCACAAAATGTTGCACTCCTTTTTGGTCTCTTATGATGCTGCAATCAATTTCTTCCCCCCCCCAAAAAGCCATAATCCTGTTAAGTGCACAGGTGTACAAGGAACAAGTGCAGCACAGTAGCATTAGCCACTGGCATCCCTCTCAGATTGGTTTGAAGCAGCCATGTTACTGTATTAGTTTCATGCATTTAGCCGTGCTTGTGGGGGTTGGATTGTGGCCTAGTGTTCCCTAGTGTCTATATTGATGATCTTTTGCATACCCCACATGTATAGGTTGAGGTGTGATGTAAGTAGTGATTTGTGTGCAAACTCTATGAATCTCTTGTAGCCAACTTCAAACCAAAATGCAGTGTCACAACCTGCTAAGTAAGTTCTGAAGTTCAGCTTCTCAGAACTCATTTTGTTTTCCCTCCTAAATTAGAGGCAAGATTTCCAAGTGATTTGGTTGTGGAGGGATTTTTTGGTTGGTTGGGGTTTTTTTATCTGTTACTTTATGAAGTGATAAATAGAACGTCAGTATGTTAAATTTTGGCAGGAACTGTGAACAGTAAATGCTGGAAAAGTAGGCAGTTATTAAATTGTACTACAGGTCTGAAAACACAGGTATTGGATGATACCAGGAAGATTCTCAGAGTTCTGTTATGTATTGATAGGAGTTGTGGTTTGAATAAAGTCTTTGCAGGCATGCTTTCTCTGTGAATATCCCAGGCACTAGGTGTCTGCTTCGTGTCCTGATGTCTGTCTGATGTCATAGAATCACCAAACAATTGAGGTTGGAGAGGACTTAAGGAGGTCTCCTGCTCAAAACAGGATTAGGTCAGGCTACTCAGGTGGTCCTTTATTTCCACTCATCTCCCACTGACTTTTCTGCCTCCTCCCTTACTATCAGTTTTCACTCAGCAAAAGACATTACTCAGAAGTGGTAGATGAGTAGCAAAAGAAAGACTGAGTGTATAAAGTGGTGCAATATGTCTAAATGTATAAGCATACTGGGAATTCCACCAATATTCAACCTTTAAATTTAGTTCTGTGCTGTAAGGAGCAATGCAGTCTTCTGTGGTGCCAAGTGACCTACACTCTTACTGATTTCACAAGAACAATCTGTGCATTATAAAATCTGGTCTAGAAGCAAATCTAGCAAATCTTACCCACTCTGGAAATGTGTATTGTTCTAAATTGAATTTGGCAATTTTGTTCCCTTTGTGCTCTGGTTCTACTATCTCCTTCTACCAACCTGTTTCAGATTCCAAGCCTCAGTCACAGTGTCATCTCACAGACAAGTTTCCGTGCAGAGTATAAATCCACAGGAGGTCCTGCTGTCTTCCAGAAGCCAGTGAAGTTCCAGGTGGACATAACGTACACAGAAGGGGGAGAGGCACAGAAAGAGAACGGGATCTATTCTGTCACTTTCACACTCTTATCAGGTAACCATGGCAAAGCTGTACAATGGGTGCGAGCTGTCTTTGTCCTTGCTGATACATAGGCCTGCAAAGAGAGCTCTGCCAGGAGAACTAATGTAACTGTCTTGACATCAGAGGAAAATTCAGATAGGGTCAAGGAAGACATCAGGAACAGAAATGGTATTGGTAGTGATGGAAATGCTGGGAGGAAAAGAGATTCCTAGAAAGACAAAGTTGCCACCATCATAATTAGTGCTAAAATGGCTGCTCTGTGTGTCAGATTTCAACAGTTCCCTGTACTGTTTCCTCATTTCACCCAAAGGTCTCAGTTTCTCAGCTGAGCACTGTGAGGCCACTGATTTCTTCCTTCTGACAGAAACCTGCAGTTACCCTTTTCTTCAGTGTGGCCACATGCCCCTGGCAGAGATTATAGCAAACAAGCAAACAAAAAACCCAGCTGTTTTTCTGCCTTCACAACAGGAGCCCAGAAGCCATCCTTCCTCCTGTTAAGTCCAGCTTACCACAGTCCCTATGAATGTGAGGACTGCATGATAGTTCCTCAAAGCTGTGCCTTCAGCTGAAGGACAGATACACTGTCAGTATCCTCTTGGGGACAAGATTCAAAGGAAGATGCTTCAGAACCCCACCCTCCTGGGTTTTATGAGGATTTGGCTCCCATTCCTCTCACAGCCATTTTGTGCCTCTTCTCTCCTCACAGGTCCAAGCCGTCGTTTTAAGAGGGTAGTAGAAACCATTCAGGCACAATTGTTAAGCACACATGACCAGCCTTCAGTGCAGCAGTTATCAGGTAAGTATTTTCTACTGTTGAGCACCTTGCTTTAGCAGGGACAGGAAGGTGAACTGCCTCAGTACCAGGAAGCTGAGGGAGGCCATCCTTCTGATTATAGCAAAAAACAAGCTCCATTCAGACAGAGCAGTAATTCCCTGCACCCACCCTACCCCTCCCTCTCTCATTCCCACTCCAATACATTCGCCAGTTGAACAGCTTCTGCCCTTCTCCTACCCAAAGAGCCATTTGCTCACTTCCCCATCAAAAGCTGCATCATTAATAGATCTTCCAGATTTCTCTGGCTCCAGAATCTCCCAGAATAGACAAAAGGTATAGAAGACACCTGATTTTCAAACATTTCAGGCATGCTTTGGAAATACCAAACTTCAAAGGGTCCCAGAACAAAGTTGAGAGCTACTTTTAACTTAGCCATTAAGAACAGCATTTTCAGATGGTCAGAAGGTGGCTAAGAGTTTCCAATAGTGTGGTCAAATTCTTGGCCTAATACTACAGTAGCACAAATCATGTACTAAGGTTCTGCAGAAGCTATATTTTATCTATTTTTAAAGAAAATTTCAATTCCTTATGGTAGCAAAGAACGCCTTACATGTGTGACCCTGTGCAATTACATCAGTCTGATCTGCAGGCACCCTGAATAGCTTCATCCCATCATTATGTAGGAGATGTTCACGCTGAACACTAGTGATGACACAAACAAAAAAGAAATCATCTTAGCTATTGGGAGTGCTTCAGGGAAAGACAAATAGGGTGAAGCAGAAAGAATGTACAGATACAGGGGAGAAACAGGAGCAAGGCAGAGAGCAGAGGCTGCAGGAAGAAGACAAAGAGGTAGGAGGATTGGGAAGAATCTGTTCTTCTTTCTCCAGTCACTACGTAACAGAGAAATATGCTCAGTTCAGGAAATACTATTTTCCAGTTTGCTTTTGCCCTCTGTTGGTGCCTGCCCTTCTGCATTCTGGACTTAAAGGATGCCCAGCACATGGGTTATTCTGCTAGGAAACAGGAAAAATGAGGTTTCAGGTTTTTTGCAGTCTGGACTTTTGAAATGAAATAAAACTCAAGGAAGCAACTAGAATTTTCTGCCAGCCCTTCCCCTCTTGGTGAATGCTGGGGCTAAGCAGGAGTGAGTGGTATTAGATAGAAAGGCATCCTTTGAGTCTAGAACATACTACCCC